CTTTCCCTTCTTTATCTACAATCTCCAAAGAATTCTATCCTTTGACTATCGACGTGCTTTTTACGATTGCGTTTACGTTTGCGTTTGTGTTTCGCGTTCAGCTTCTTCGTCAAGTCGTTGCTTGTTTTATCCTTCTAGCAGTTTCTTTCATATCTAGTCTCTCGTCTGGGTTGGTTGCTATGCAAGAAGCTCCGATCCTTAGCAACTCTATCATTTGAGCGACTGATTCCGTATTGCTCGCGATTTCGGGATCGATAAGCTCTTCTTCTTTCCCTTCCGAGATCGATGTCTGCACCCATTGGACGATATCGGTGCCGCCTTTCCCGTTGTTTAGGTATTGCGACGGAAATTTCCCCGTCAAGATCTCCAGGACGATGATTCCGAGGCAGTACACGTCCGATTTCGCCGAGACTCGCTGATTCTGGGTAAACTCGGGCGTTTTGAAGGCGAACAGCGATTGAGTGGCGTTTTCCGGCTGCAGAAGCGGCAAGAAAGCGTAGTCGCTGATCAAGGGCTCGTAGTTTTCGCTCAAGAGAACGTTACTGGACTTGAGATTTCCGTGAGGAAGCTCGTAAGACGTGAACTCTTCGTGCAAGAACTGCATTCCCCGGACGACTCCTTGTATTATCTTCAGCCTCGTCGGCCACGTTAGTTCGGAATGACAGATCCCACGGTCGCCTGGACAGAACATAGAAAAAAAAACATACTCTCTAATGTCTGAAAAGGTCAAGAAACCGATCTACGAGCTCGAAAACGTCTGTATATTACCGTGCAAGACGTAAAGCAAGCTGCTTTTAGGCATGTATTCCGAGACGATGAGCTTCTCCTCTCGTCGGTAATGATACGCTAAAGGGGTGAGAATGTTAGGATGACGAAGTTGCCCTAACCGTCTCATCTCGACATCGAATGCCTCTTTCCCGAGCTTATTCATATCCCTTATCCTTTTCACGACAACTGCTAACCCGTTACCCATCACGGCTTTATAAGCCGAGCCTAGGCTACCGTTCCCTAACACCTCGGCCGCGGCTTTCATCAGATCGGGCAAACCGAAGGAGCCTCTGTCCTTGTTCACCATTATGATATCTCCCATCCCACTTCCTTTCCCATGGTTTGAAGTTCCTTTCTTAGTTGATCCATCTAAATCGCGTTTTTTCGTCGATTCTGAAGGTTTCTTGCTCGTTGTTTCGGGAACTCGGACCTCCACAACCTCGTTGTCGCTTAGATGTTCCTTGCTAAGCATCCGGAAATCGGGTTCTCGTCTTCTTCTTCTCGAAATAATGCCAACAATGATGAAGAATATTATCAGAACAACGATTGATATCAGGATAGATTTTATGTTGAGCTGGCTTAGTTCCTGTTCTGTCATCGGATCTATCTTTCTTGCATCAGATGGGTCGCAGACAACATTCAAAGGTTGTCCACAAAGTCTCTGGTTTCCTCGGAAATTCATCTCGAGATTCTTTCTCTCCGATATGCTCTTCGGGATCTCGCCTTCTAGATCGTTGTTCGAGAGATCGATCGATTTCAGAATCTTGTTTGCATCAGTAAGCTCAGGAATCTGCCCCGAAAACTGGTTTCCTTGCAAGTGGATCTCCTCAAGAACAAGCAGTTGCATCAACGACGTGGGAATCTGCCCGGCGAAGTGGTTGTTATCGAGAAAAAGCCTTTTCAGCTGAGGCATATCCTTGAAGAAATCATCGGAGATCTCGCCCGAGAAACTGTTGTTCGAGAGCAGGAGCGATTTCAGGCCACGAAGCATGTGAAAAGGCGGTAAGGGACCCGAGAGCATGTTGTTATCCAATCTCAGGGTCCTGAGACTGGTAAGAGCCTTCAAATCTTGAACACTGATCTCGCCGGTGAGGCCGAGACGCGTGACGTGGATTCCCGTAACGGATTCGCCGTTCTGGCAATAGATTCCAAACCACTTTCCATTACAAGGGTCAGTTCCCGCTCTCCAAGAATTCAAGTCCCCTTTTGTGATGTTGATCGTGTTCTTGAAGTGGATAAGGGGCTCGGCCTCGTTCACGTGCTGCAGGGAAGGGACGAAGAAGGAGGAGCTGATCAGGAAGGTGAAACTGAGGAGAAACGGAGATAGAACAACAGCCATGGATCGATCGATCGGTTTAATGAAGTTGCCAAAGAAGCTGCTGTTCAAAGAACACAATATCTTGATGATGATGACGATGATCACGACGAAGAAGAAGAACAGTGATGATGATGGTGATGAAGACGAGGATTATACATGATGCCTTTCGGTGTCTCTACGATGGCTCCGTTGTTGTTGTTCAATGTCAGGAAAAACGTGGGACATTGTTTTTTTAGGGTTGTGATATGAGAAACAATGAACAATTATTATTTTTTCCTCTTGTTTTTGAGGAGTTTAGTTGTCAAGTTTAGATTCCGATTTCCAAAAATAGCTTAATTAATTTTTTTTATTCTTTTATTATTTTTTAACAAAAAAAAATTAAAAGCTCGGAGACTTTTATGGAGATTTCTTACAACGACAGGTTTTGAAGGTTTTGACCTCGTCTTTGTCTTCGTTTTTTTTTAATTAATAATTAGATTTTCTCTTTATAAATTTCAAAAAACTCAAAATGGTATTTCGTGTCTCTCTGTTCACCTGCCCTACCTTATGGTACAAGTAACGTTAATAACACACATAACCCAATACTTTCGAGCAATATAGATTCATGGATTGTTTTAAATAATTATGTGTATTAATAACATCAAATTATATATATTATATAATCTAGTAATCTGGTAAATGATGTTATATAATTAAGTTTAAAGGTTAAATTGGGTAAAAAAACAAAATTATAAAGATCTTTCTATAAATAACGATATTTTGCTAGTTTCTAGTCCTTTATAGATAGAATTAAAAGTTAAACTCTGCAATTTTCATAGATGAAAAAAAAAAATACATAATCAAGCCACATGGTAGTTTCAAGAGTTACAGAAAATTCCTAAGGGCACATGGTCGTCTGGTCGGTCGCATCAAGAGAAAGGCCACACAATATGGTTAACATAAGCTTCGGGAATAACCCAATAAATAACTTCAACTCTGTACCAAAATCGGAGACTTTTGCACTAACGCCTGGTCGTGGTAAAAAGCTCCAAGCCCTTCTTCTGTTGAGGTAAAAAGATTCAAGATTTGATGTCATCCGTAAAAAAAAGAAATCCTCCTCGGCCGTTTACGAGTTACTGCGGTAGAAACTTTTTCAGATCATTGCAGAGAGGATCTCGTTCCATGTATCAGGAACACCGGGCAAGCACCAGTGCAAGCAGTCCTGTACTCCCGGGGCGGCTGTCAGGCTAAACCTCGAGATATGGCCCTCGTCCCGTACTTGCGACATAGCCGTTATGTCCAGAAGCTTAACCCCGGTCCCTACCACCGAATGCCCGGCGCTGTAATCGCTCGACTCGTCTTGTAGGACTTCTTTCCCGACAGACATCGGGGTCGTGTTATCGCAGCTTCCTCCCGTGTTCCATTCCCCGCCGAAGAAATGCCTCGGGGAAATGCTCCTGTAGAATGCCTTCAAACCCGGATGATGTGGAAGCCGAGAGTTTACCCAGCGGACGATACTGTGAATCGTGAAATTCTTCGCGTTCCCGAGCGCAGCCAGCTTCTTGTTGGTGTTCGGGATTCCGTCCACGTGCATCACCCATCTGTTTCCGTTGAGCTTCCCTCGGTTCCAGTGGTGGCCCGTGTTCAGTACCAAAATGTCGATCTTGTGAAGGTACTGGCGTAAAAACGCCGGTGGATGATCGAGATGCATAGCGTATTCGGTTGCTGGATCAGTGGCATTGAGGGGTTCTATGTCGCAGAGAGTCGCCGACCAGTAGTAGAGGACCGTTGTGCTGGTTTCCGGGAACCGGTAAGCCCAGCCGCCGGGACGACCTCCTCCCTCGGGGGTAATGAGCCCGAATTCCGGTCCAACATCCATGACGTCGGGTCTCTCCTCACCTCCAGTGATCATACACATCATCGATTGAAACTGTTGTCTTCCCAACGAGTCTCCTACGAAAGCTAGGGTTTTGTTCTGCATCCTGGATGGCATTCAAGACAGAGATAGGGTGGGGATATCTCAGATTCAACTGATCTCCATCAAAACATTGCAGGGAAAAAGATAAAACATCATCTAGATGTCTTTCTGTACCTTTTTAAAAACTTGGAACCTTCGAATTCTTCCATGTCGCAGTCTTTAGGTTGCCATCGAAGCTTCTCAAAGGCGAAATCTTTACGTTGCATCAACCTGCACGCCCACATTGGTGCAAGCCACTGTTTGCAGCCAGACCCGGAATACAAAGGATGGCGATCGTCCACAACCCACTTTCCTTTCGCATAATTACAGGCTGAGAACAGTACAACCAACCCGTGATTCAGTCCAGCGACATCAGATACTACGATGTATAGTCACGGAGTGAGATGAAAACACCACCATTAGAATGAATACTGGAACTTTACCAGAAGTTAAATTACAGGGGATTCAGGTACCTTGAGTTTTGGAGTGCGGTAAATTGCTCTCATCAGGTTCCTTAGTTTCCGAGTGGGCAGTCCTTGTTTCTACTTCCTCTTGAATTTTACTCTCTGGCTCTGAGTTCTCTTCTGTATTTGGCCTGCTTCCAACTTCGGTCTCACTTACAATAGACTTGTTTTCCACTTGTTTCTCATCCGTTGTTACTTTCTTTACTTCGTCTGTCTCATCTACAGAGACCTGGAGTTCCACTTGTTTCTCTTCCTCTCCTGAATCCTTATGTTCTGTCCTATCCTCTAAGTTCATCAAGAAACCCAAACGAGACAAGGGAAACAGATGTCACAATCAGATCCAACTCACGATCCATAGGAAGCAAGAGTGAGTTCATCGAATAGTTTAAAAGGAATCTGAGCGCTAACACTAGTACTGGAATTCAAGAACAAACAACAGAATAAAAGAAAAGACAGACGAAAAAAGACGATATAACTGGCACTGCATAAGGAAATGTAAGCATTAAACATTACCGTAGTGATCAAAAGGACTAGTTGATGAGTAGCTTTCCTTAGTTTCGGTAACGACTACCCCAGATATTTTCTCATCTTTCCTCTCTGTAAATGAAGACAAGTCTTGTCTCAGATTGGTCTCGGTTTCGATGGCTCCACCACATTTGTTTCATAAACGGCTATAAGGTCATTTCAAAGCAACAAACAGGAAAAACAGATGAAAGAAAAAAATAAAAGCATGATGCTTTCAGTGGATGATCATCGTCACATTTCATAGTTCCTCATTCCAGCAATCTAATATAATCCTCGCTCATGACAAATGGATGAGAACAGATGAGAGTTTTTCAATTGGGTATATAATGTATCCAGTTTCATTCAAGATATTCAAATTCTGCACCAAAACTCATTGCTTTTTTTTTTTTTTGTGGGGGG